GGCCCAGCAATCTCAGGAACTGACGGCCTTCCGAACTCCCTGGGGGCTTTTCCAGTTTACGGTGTTACCATTTGGGCTGCATGGGGCTCCAGCAACGTTTCAAAGATTAATGGACCAAGTTCTCTATGGATTGTCTGAGTTTTCTTGTGCCTACCTTGATGATATTGTTGTCTACAGCACAACATGGGAGGAACATGTGGAGCATCTCAAAGTGGTCTTTGACTGCCTCCATTCTGCCGGCTTGACAATCAATCCAGCTAAATGTGTCCTGGCCAAGAAGGAAACGGAGTACCTGGGTTTCGTCATTGGAGGTGGGTTAATTAAACCTCAGGTTCAAAAGATCCATGCAATTGAGTCATGTCCTCTCCCACAGACCAGGAAGCAGTTAAGATCTTTCCTGGGGATGGCTGGCTTCTACAATCGGTTCATCCCCAACTTCTCAGCCAGGGCGGCTCTACTAACAGATAAGACAGGCTCAAGATGTCCCAACCAGGTTCAGTGGACAGGGGAGGCAGTGGCTGCTTTCAAGGACATTCAGAAATCTCTCAGTAAGAGCCCTGTTTTACATAGTCCAAACTTTGAGAAACTGTTCATATTACAGACTGATGCCTCTGAGAGGGGTGTGGGGGCAGTGCTTCTACAGGGACCCAAGGAGGAACGACATCCTGTGGCGTATATCAGTCGGAAACTTCTACCCAGAGAGGTCCGCTATTCGACAGTGGAAAAGGAGGCCTTGGCAGTCAAATGGGCCCTGGACTCTTTCAAGTATTACCTGATGGGCAGAGAGTTTACCTTAGAGTCTGATCATAAGGCATTGAAGTGGTTGGAGAGGATGAAATATACCAATGGGCGGATTACCAGGTGGTACCTTGCCATGCAGCCATTCCGGTTTACAGTCCAGTACATCCCTGGCAAGTTCAACACCACTGCAGACTATCTCTCTCGCTGGCCCAGCAGCAGCTCTGAAGGGGGAGGGTGTGTGATGGCCACAGCCGTGGCCTCACAACCAGATGAAGAGCGGTAACCTCATGCACTGACTTTGTTGTGTTCTTTAAGATTAGTTTATATACATTCATACACATTAGACATTTTGTTGTAAATATTTATTTGGTTACAGGACACTTAGTTTATTTCACATACTTTATTTTAGTTGACTATACAGAAGCATCTTTTGGAACACACACCATTAGTTACTTTTGGATTTTCATTTTGTTATAATTCTTGTTTCCGAGCTTACCAGTGTTGGATGCCACATCCAGGAAGTCTGCTGGCTTAAAGGGTTGGTGCTCGGAGCAGGAGCAGCTTTATAGGAGAGGTGGCCTGATTGGACACTACCACTGCTTGCTATGTCTGGGGGGTGGCTTTATTCTCTCCTTAAATATTTTGGGGTTTAGATTTATATTATATTTGAGTATTTTTGAGTTAAGGTTAAGTAAATGTACATTTCTTTTGGAATAAGTTTTACATAAGTTTTGTTGTGTTTGCAGTTATGATGTAGTGTTGTTGTTGTTAGTCTTCCCCTGTGTGTCAAAATTGGTCTGATCAGCCAATATATAAGTCCCCTTTGTTTGTTGTATAGTAGGTCAGTTGTATTTTTGAGTCTCTTATGTTCAGAGCTTTAGTTTGTTTGTTTATTTGACCTCTTTTATGGGCCCAAAACTTGTTGTAATGATTTTTTTGGTAAATAAAACCCTTTTGCTTTAAATTTCCCTCTTGACTCCTCATGCCTAACTGCCTGGTCCCTCACACTCCTCCTGGCTCGTCTTGATTGCTCTCTCTCCTGTACACGTCTAACAGCTTTAAGGGCCAGGTAGACCATGGCTACTTTTACCATATTTAACAAGCCCTCCTCGTCGTCCATGTCAAATAAGGCAAAAAAAACAAACAACCTGGGCTAAATAAGATAAAGTAAGAAACAAAATTTGTCTTGTCAGTTGCTGTCTGGTCCGTGTGAACTGATGTGGTTTTCTGAACATTCTATAGACTGAAACTAATTACTGCCAACTTTGGAATGTTGGTGTTAGTGTGCGCAGTCTGAGCAGTGTGCAAGCACCTTTAAACATTCCTTTTAATCATGGGTGTACAGTGGGGGGGGGCAATAAACAGGGGTTCAGTGCAGACAAAATGTAGCAGAGGGGGACACAAATAATACTGCCAAATTGTATTTTTATAGGATACGTGTACACAGAGGGAAGTCTTGCTATTATCTTTCTGGCCAACAACACAAAGCAATAGTTGTTTAAATATGACTTAAGTTCATAGGTTCACCGCGCAGTCATATTATCCTAAATAACCTGCGTCCTCTAGGCTACATATAAGTTTCTTCTGGGACAGGACGTCTCTTACTTACATACATACAGGTGCTGGTCATATAATTAGAATATAACTGACAAATAATGAAAACCCCAAAATCAGTATCTCAGAAAATTAGAATATTGTGAAAAGGTTCAATATTGAAGACACCTGGTGCCACACTCTAATCAGCTAATTAACTCAAAACACCTGCAAAGGCCTTTAGTCTAGTTCTGTAGGCTACACAATCATGGGGAAGACTGCTGACTTGACAGCTGTCCAAAAGACGACCATTGACACCTTGCACAAGGAGGGCAAGACACAAAAGGTCATTGCTAAAGAGGCTGGCTGTTCACAGAGCTCTGTGTCCAAGCACATTAATAGAGAGGCCAAGGGAAGGAAAAGATGTGGTAGAAAAAAGTGTACAAGCAACAGGGATAACCGCACCCTGGAGAGGATTGTGAAACAAAACCCATTCAAAAATGTGGGGGAGATTCACAAAGAGTGGACTGCAGCTGGAGTCAATGCTTCAAGAACCACCACGCACAGACGTATGCAAGACACGGGTTTCAGCTGTCGCATTCCTTGTGTCAAGCCACTCTTGAACAAGACACAGCGTCAGAAGCGTCTCGCCTGGGCTAAAGACAAAAAGGACTGGACTGCTGCTGAGTGGTCCAAAGTTATGTTCTCTGATGAAAGTAAATTTTGCATTTCCTTTGGAAATCAAGGTCCCAGAGTCTGGAGGAAGAGAGGAGAGGCACAGAATCCACGTTGCTTGAAGTCCAGTGTAAAGTTTCCACAGTCAGTGATGGTTTGGGGTGCCATGTCATCTGCTGGTGTTGGTCCACTGTGTTTTCTGAGGTCCAAGGTCAACGCAGCCGTCTACCAGGAAGTTTTAGAGCACTTCATGCTTCCTGCTGCTGACCAACTTTATGGAGATGCAGATTTTCCAACAGGACTTGGCACCTGCACACAGTGCCAAAGCTACCAGTACCTGGTTTAAGGACCATGGTATCCCTGTTCTTAATTGGCCAGCAAACTCGCCTGACCTTAACCCTATAGAAAATCTACGGGGTATTGTGAAGAGGAAGATGCGATACGCCAGACCCAACAATGCAGAAGAGCTGAAGGCCACTATCAGAGCAACCTGGGCTCTCATAACACCTGAGCAGTGCCACAGACTGATCGACTCCATGCCACGCCGCATTGCTGCAGTAATTCAGGCAAAAGGAGCCTCAACTACGTATTGAGTGCTGTGCCTGCTCATACTTTTCATGTTCATACTTTTCAGTTGGCCAACATTTCTAAAAATCCTTTTTTTATATTGGTCTTAAGGAATATTCTAATTTTCGGAGATACTAAATTTGGGATTTTCATTAGTTGTCAGTTTTAATTCCAATTACTGATTTTTTTTAAAAGGTCTGACCTGCCGATTCCAATTTTGGCCAATTCCGTTTTATTTATTTCTAAGAACTATAACTGACAGCATAAACATTTTTGTAACTATTTATTTTAAAATCTATTTTTATTAGGATCCCCATCAGCACCAGTATAAATGTTAGCAATCCATAATGAAACATTGACTGGAAGGAGCTGAAAATAAATTGCACACCATTTTATTCTACCTAATTTTCCAATCTATTTTTGTGTTTAATCACAAACTACAGTAATCTGCTCACCGTTCTTTTCCCATCAGACACACAAGCACAAACCTACACCTGTCATCTCTCTCTTTCTCTCTGTCTGCTTTGACTTTACTTGTCAGCAGTTTTATTTAAAAGAACTCCTGTTTCTTACTTTTCACCCATTTTCACAGCAGCAGATGAGCCGCGTGTGGAGGAGGCTTTTAATTACTGAGAGAGCCCACCGTGGTCTGAATGACATCATCACCAGCAGCTGTGTTCACTGTTGCTTTACCTGCTTCCTGCTTTAAATATCCACAGCGTCTCTTTCTGTGTGTTTCTCTGCAGATGTAGTGAGCGTTGGGTCTTCTTCACTCGGGAATAACTTCCACACACCTAAGACATGTTTTAGCCTATGTGTATGGCTGTGACATGAGGTTACTGTCTGTGCACACATGTGAAACACAACGCAGCGTTTGTAACATTCAATCTGACCAGCAGAAAATTTAACACTGCTCGGCCCCGGTCACCGGTCGGAGCCGAGTAATATTTCAGTCCTCAGCTGATCAATCTGCACATCTCTAGCTGTAGAAGATGACTTCCAGTTCAATAAGCTGTTAAACAAGCTACCGAACAAGCTAGGTAATGTTATAATAACAGAGTGGGCTCATAGAAAAATAATCGGTTATCATAACTTTTTGCAATGATTAATTTATTAATCACTCAGCTGCAGGCTATAAAGACAAAATAATCAGTTCATCCAATGTTTAAAGTGCATAACACAGCCCTGCAGCCATCTTAACATTACTGGAGCTCCACAACTGAAGGATTTGAACTGGTTTTCTCCAACCAGACTCCTGTGAGGGAAAGCAGGCAGTGGACCAAACCACTGTCAAACAAGGGAGGGGGGAATGTTTCTAAACTTAAAACGCACTTTAATTGCCCGGTTTGCGTTTGCATTGTTTTACTATTTACAGAATTATTCTAAGTATATATAATTTCTACCTGTGCTTTTAATATAAAATCTATTGTTAAATTTCCATTTATGAGGCCTTTGACTCTCACATTGTTTTCTCTCCCCATCAGTTGGAGTCTGATCCTGTTTATACCAACATCTCAGCCTTGAAATAAAACTGTATGTGACTTGAGTGGAAAACAGTCACAGCAGAGGGACTCACCTGGATGGAAACAAGGAGAAGTACAACATTGAAGTAGTGGAGAAGCGGGGCTGTGAACAAAGTGGATAGATTTACTTTTAACTCCAAACATTTTAATTTTTAAATTTTATTAGCAGCAGCAGCTGGACATCAACAACAGCATAACTGAAGATTGTAGAATGTAAGCTTTATTTTTACCTGTGCAGGTATGTTACATACGCTTAGTATTTAACTCAATATGCTAAATGTTTTTTAAAATTCTAATATAATAAAGTGCTTTTAAGAAATACTGGTTGCCCTTCATAACACACATTTCCTGGCCGGGAAAACCAATAAAGTCTGTTCAAAAGATACATGTTTAACGGGAGAAGAATTAAGTATTTCACACACATGTACAGTCTATATTTAAACACTGAAACCAAACAGAAGCCCAGCTCTGTCACACGATGGATTATTAGGGCCACGTTGAGGAGTAAAAAAATTATGAGATTATGAGGATAAAGTCGTAATATTACGAGAATAAAGTTGTATTTTTATGCTACATGTTAGGGGAAATATCAGAAGAGCAGCCTGCTGCTTCCTTGCATTAAAATGAGGAACGTGGAGCATCTTGTGAGCCAGCCTTAAGCCAGCCTCCTTCGAAAACGACGTCAAGCCAGCCCTCGCGCTGTTTTGAGATGCAAACTGCGTGCTACTCCTCTCCCTACCTACTTCCACTCCGTTTGCACGTTCATGTGGAGGGTCTGTCACATTGACTGGCCCAATCCCAATGTCCACCCTCACAGACTCACAGACTTTGAGGCGCGTTCTTGGGAAGTCCGCGAGGGCTTAGGGCTGTCCCACTGTCAAATCGTCAAGTGTACGAGGGTTCTCTCGCGGACATTTTGAGCCCTTTTTAGACCATTTTCATAAGTCCGCATTTCTGCAGACTTTCCCTGAGGGAACTGCCCACAGTTCATAGCGGTATGCCGTGAAACACGGGGGTTACCAGAGCTGAGTTCAGTGCAGACAAAATGTAGCAAAACGTTTTTTTCTACAGAAACGGTGGTTCCCTGAACACCCTGTTGTTTATACAAGCGCAATGCATTTCCCTGCCTTTTGAACGCCATTATGTTCACAAATTTTCGCAGCTGATTGATGGGCATGTCACAGGTGTTACACAAACAAAAGAAAACATACTTCGAAGCCTGTTGTGCGATGTTGCGCAACGTTGCAAGGAAACATGTTGTTCAATCCGAAAATGTTGCAAACCGGTGCAAAACTTTTTGAGATTGAACTCGCTCCAGCGGAAGCCCGGAAGAGAGAGAAATCTGCATGATGATGCATTTTGTCGATAACATTTCAAAAGGCTACACCAGCCGCACGTATACAATTTTATCCCCATTCACGTTAGCGGAGCGCTAAACCCGGAAGTTAGCCGGCTCAGCCGGCAAAAGTCAACACAGTGGACGCTGTAGCACTACTATCAACTAGCATTTGGGGGTGTAATTGACCCATCGCTAAGCCATGCCCCAAATGCACAGCTGGCCAATCACAGCGCAGTATAGGACTCGCCCTAACTGAAGGCCGACACTTTCATGGATACGCTCCATTGACTCTAATGTAAAAAGAGTCATTTTCTAGCTTTTTTTGACAATATTTTTCTAAGATCTGGTCAAACACTGTTGCTGGGGCACTTGCAATAGTTACAGTTGCTACCCACAGAGGTTGGTAGGAGAAATACAATTTATTGTCTTTCCAAAACCTAAAATACATCCAGAAAAATGTCTGCTGTGGATCGTTCCTAATGTTAGTTAGCTAACGCTAGCTAACTTCCTACTCAGTGGAACATAATAAAGCCCTACTGTTCTGCTTTTTAATGATTTTAATAATGAATAAAGGCCTACCCAGCTTTACAGGAACAGTGTTGATCGTTCATATCGTTGTCTTTTGTCTCAGTCATCGGGGGATGCGGTGGTTCACTTTTACTCTGTGATTGGTAGGCTTTAGCTTTTAGCTTTCATTTTTTTCACGTCCGTTTGAGTCAGTTTGATAGCCTGAATACAACCTTCAAATGTACAATGCAACTGCAAAACTGTCTGCTTCTTTCTGAGATCGCTTCTTCCAACTAATATGACAATATTTCTCCAGGGAGTGCTGTAATAAAAAGTGGCAGCGCCGACATTTTGTTGGCAACAGTAACTAAGGGGGGGGGGGGCTTAGCGAAGGGTCAATTGCAGAATGACGGGGACACCAACGCACAAGTATAAATGCCTGGCTTCGTGCATAGAGTCCCTACGCAGGAGCATAAATCAAGCTTTACGGAGACCTTTTGCCACATTTGCACCTCCCGTCCAGACTACAACGATGAAAATGAAGACCTAAAACGGAAAAGTTTGGAAATGCTGCTGACCCTGTTTTGCGTTTTGAATCTCGCGTTTTAGTGAAGACAGGCAAAAACGGAGGACTTTAATGGCGTATCCTTCCCTGATTCGTCAGCCACCCATCACATGTCCCCTCCCCAGAAGAAAACATAGAACAACAGCCTGGACTACCAGTAACGTTAGTGACTGTAACATGGATAATGAATTACAAGCGTTACTGATCTTGATGTCTTTGCTAGCAGCTGTTGTGCTAGTAGATTCTGCATTTTACAATGCTATAACTGCCTACATGCGCCGGAGGCAAGCTGTTATTCGAGCGGTCTGTGACAATGCTTGTGACAATCCTTTTGCTGCACGATGGGATGTAGGATTCCTAAACTACACTAACATTTCATATCACCATTCACAGGTTAACAACGTAGCCCAAATGTTATACTGTGTTTAATTAAAAAGTGATCTTGTCTGACAACTGTTTTTATTGAATCGTATTCATTTCAAACGAAAATCTTCAGTCAAAACAAAATAGCCTACATTAAACAGAACAATAGAACATGA